TTATCACTCTTGCAGGTATTTTTAGGTATGATATGAGGATCATTGTTGCCAAAGGCAGCTGCACTTTGCTGCCATCTCCTGCCATCTGCTGGAGTTGATGGGATTTGCAACAACTGAAGGTTTTTCATGGAATCTGATTGGTGATCCATTGCAGAAATAAAGTAACAGCCTTTTGTGCTTGTTTTAATAATTTCTGCATTCTGTTGAAGATCTCCAGGTTTAAAAAAGAAAATAAAAGGTTAGTTTCCTTTCAAAGATGTCTTTATAAAGGAGATAAAAGGCTGATCTACTTTTTTTAATAACTTAAATTACATAAAAGTCTTGTGATTTTTGAGAAAAACATGAACTGTCTGATCTCAAACAACAATGCTCCAAAATATTTAATGAGATTTTGAGATTGAGTCAACCTGAAGGAAACTGGTTGTACTGGATTTTATTTAGGAATAAGTTGCATTACATTGATTTGTGCATCTGTATTCAATGTGTCATTAAGCTTCCACTTAACAGTTATGCACTTCTTTGTTCTGGTGACTCAGTAAAATCCCAGAAAATTATTTTATTTACAAATTTTTACCAATATTATCATTTGTAAAATGATAAAATGTGGAAGAGATGTTAATATTTTTAATGAAGTGCATTATTGAACACTCACAAATTTTGAATATAAATTAGGCTTTCTGGTATAGAAAAGAAAGTGGCTGCTGCATTGTTGGCAGAATAAATTCAAAACTAGAAGTTTATCGTGACTTTTTAGGCAAACTAAAGATCTGAACACAAGAGGGCTCTCTTGTTTCATCTAAGATCAGGAGACTTTCAGTACTTTAATATTTTGCAAGAAGGTTTTAATAAAGGTTTTCTTTTTAGCCATTTGTTTCATACTGACCCAGAAAAGCTGAACTTTAATGTTCGTTTTCTTATCAAACTGTAGTTGAATTGAATTAGTTCCTGCAAGAGATTCTTTTCCAATTATTCACTCCTTTCCAACAGCAGCTGGCTGCAGCTCACTGCTCAGGTCTAACTGTTGTCACAGCTCTGTATTAAAGGACAATTCAGAGATTTGATGCTGGTGATTAAATCACGTTTATTAGTTTGGCTGCACATCTGTCTTGCTGTAGGTTGTAAGCTTTGTAAGTTTGTACGGTAAGAAAACTTTATATTTTACTATAATTTATACTTTAGTATATGCAAGAAGACGGGTCTGTTTCTTGATTTACCAGCAGCAGAGAGTTTAGAAATATTTGACTGAAAGTTTTGGTTTTAACATTTACATCAATAGTTTCAAGAGCCATCTTTTAATTACGTTGTTTGTATTTTTAAAGTGTATGTTCAGATGAACAATGTGGCTAAATAGAAAGGCTCTAACTGCTAACTTGTGTTCCTTTATAAATCACTGAATGCCTTGTTGGCTGCGGGTGATGGAAGAGGAAACAAAGAGTAGATTTTCAGAAACAAGTCCTGGTGTAAATGAGAAACATCCTCTCCAAACTCCACAGTGATTGGACTAATGTCAGGTTCATTGGTTTCTGTTGTGGTAATATCTGAATAATTCAAGCTTTCTCTCACCTCTAACCTCTGTTCATATCCCTCTTAAGCACTTCCAGCCCCAAAAAACAGCCAATGCAGGAACCTCAGATCGACTGATCCAAATGTAGAAGTGTTGTTGAAATTGTTATGTAGCACCTTCTTCCATTCTGTGCAAGGAAACTAAAATGGAGGGTGCTGGGTTCCATAGAAATCCGGTACCCCAATTGTTGTGCGGCACCGATTACCTAATTTATGACAAATATGACCCAGAGAAAGTTTAGAATTTTAGGCGAAATGGTTCAGCCTAACTTTATTAAACTGAAGTGACAGAAAACCTATTAGTTAGTCACCCCTGTAACTTTAAAGTTGAACGACCCTTCAATAATATTTACAAAACATAGACATAAGGCAAAAATAATAAGACATTAATGTCCACCTTTTGGTTCCAATGAACCACAACACATGTAACCCTGGCAGTTGGTCACTCAAGACCAGTGGCGGAGCCAGAGGGGTGGCCAGGGTGGCACTTGCCACCCCCAACAGAGCCCTGGCCACCCCTAGTGCCACCCCACTGGAAATGGTCATTTTAAAATATAATACTTATGAGATCGGCAAAGATTTGCCAGGAAAACTGTAATTTCCGACTGTCCCTGAAGGCAGCTCGATGCCCGACGCTGTTCATTGGTTAAACTGACATGTGGTTCCTGCTTTTTCCAAAACACATCTGAGGCTTTAGAGTTACACCGTCCAGGAGTTTAGCAGGTATTTCCAACATTTTACCGCTCAGCTGTAACCGTTGTTACCTTCCTAATGAGAGGCGGCTCTTGTCATACATTTCTAAAAAGAAACAAAATGGTTGTGTACCGCTGCATAGTGCCTCGTTTATTATATTAGCCATGCTAGTGATGATAGATCGTGTTTTAGACAGATTCTTTTAACATAATGTTTTAGTGACATGCTGCCCTCTAATGTTTTATATCTCCCAGCTCTTGCTTGAAATGTGTAAGAATATGTGAAAAACCATTAAGTTTTATAATGACTGAAATGTAAGTAGGGTATGTCATATGAAAGCTTTGAATTATAACCTAACTAGTTATATTAATTAATTTTAATTAATGTATTTCTAATTTAGTATTTTAGCTAGCTACAGAAAAGTAAAAACCAGTTTAAATAATAGTTAAAATAGTGTCTCTGCCAAACAGTTATGGAGTCTAAATACCAGGCTGTCTTATTTTGTGTAGAGCCCAAATGAAGAGAAAAGGGAAAATCTCCCAGTTCTTCTTCAAGAGGCAAAAACCAGGGCCAGACAGAACCCTGCAGCAGTGACCAGGACCAGACAGAACCCTGCAGCAGTGACCAGGACCAGACAGAACCCTGCAGCAGTGACCAGGACCAGACAGAACCCTGCAGCAGTGACTAGGACCAGACAGAACCCTGCAGCAGTGACCAGGACCAGACAGAACCCTGCAGCAGTGACCAGGACCAGACAGAACCCTGCAGCAGTGACCAGGACCAGACAGAACCCTGCAGCAGTGACCAGGACCAGACAGAACCCTGCAGCAGTGACCAGGACCAGACAGAACCCTGCAGCAGTGACCAGGACCAGACAGAACCCTGCAGCAGTGACCAGGGTCAGACCAGGACCAGACAGAACCCTGCAGCAGTGACCAACCTGGAGAATCCAGCCAGGAGACTCCAGGCCCAAGTGGATCACCAGCAGGTTAGAGGTTGTGACAGAGAGTTATTAAGTATTAAAATCCAATAAGCCTAATTCTAAAGGTTAGCATGATGCTTTTTGCATTTTTTATTGTGTCTGTTTATGCATTTCACAATTAAGTTCCAGAGAGAGATGAGGGTGATACAGATTCAGACTCTGGGGAAGAAGACAGTGAAGCAGAAGGAAATGGCACTGAACTGCCCCCACCCAGCACAACCTATTGCACACCAGAAGCACCAGTTTATTTATTTATTTATTTTTGAGAATTTATTTTTGGTCATATTCTGGGCTCTGAGTTTACATTTACATGTTCACTGTTCCATAGAGCCGTTTAACGTCTTGTTTGGTCATGGCAAATCTTAGTTAAATAAACCATTTTAATATGAGTGTGTGTGAAAAAATATTTGTTTCCTTTTGTTCATCATTTGTATATGGACCCTCTGATAAAGCCTTGCTCACCCTTTGGCCACCCCTTGAAAAAAAGTCTAGCTCCGCCACTGCTCACGACCTCCAGGAGACTGTGAAAAAACGTTGCAGGCCTGTTACAAAACAAGGAGTTGAAGTCCCGAAGAAAAAACAAAACAAAACATTGAGAGCGCTGCAAATCCACTGGACTCGTGTTCATTGTATTGAAGTCCCTTGTCCAAGACGAAACACGTGGAGCTGAAGCGGCTAGCTCCCTCAGCTTTGCCGAACTCGTTCAGCCCCCCTCCAACTTCTTCTGAACTTCGTCCTCAACAGTGTGTTTTTTCTCCCGTTCTCTCTCGCTCAAGTCTGTCTTCTTCTTCCCTTCTGGTCGGTTCGCCTCACCCTCCGCTATTCACCATTTTCCTTCGCCTCTCCTTCTCCTTCCACTCGCCCCTTCTCTCCACCAATCAGGAGTCACGCCCCAGACGGACTGCATCAGTAGCCAATCAAATGGCAAAGCCAAATAAAATACCCTTTATATTATTTAAATATTAAAGAAGAATCCTAACATATTTCTTTCAAAACAAGATTACGTAATCCCTAGTCATCACAAGGGTTATTATTAGTAAATAAGCATTTACTTCAAGTCTTGTACTGACCTATTAAAACTTTTATTAATCCGAACATATAGTTATTAGTAACCTCAGTATAACACTGGGCTACAGTTAAAATTGTGAGTTTTGATTATTTTGAGGTGAGCTGAGGGAGTTCTTGCTTGTTTACAGCAGAACGTTTACATGATTATGTTTGTACAATGAACAATAATCTAATGAACAGAAATCAATGGAAAAGCTTTAACCTTCTTCCTGTGAACATCGACTTAGAGCTTAAATCAGAATGTACCTGAAAATGTTTCTGATTTTAACACCCATTCATCAAAACATTTGTCACAGCCAGTCTGAGTCTGTTATGGGCCTCACTTGTAAAATAATCAATCAGTCTGCTCAGACCACACTGGTCAGTTTCTGAATCTTTTAACTGTCTCTGGTCTTTTGTTGCCTTATTTTTGTCTTCAAACCTAAAAATATCTCTTGAATATATTCAGAGATTATGAAAAGCTTTGCACTTTGCACAACAGGTTTTAGATTAAATCAATGAAACATATAATTTTAGAAACAGGATCCAACTTACAGTTTTGGATAGAATAAACTGGTTAAATAAATTAGTTTTGATATTCCAGATTTATTTTATATTTCCCGTTTTGTGTGTTTGTTTCATAATGTTATGGTTTACCTCAAAGAGCAATAAATTAATATTTAAACCACATGTCAGAATGAGTTAAACACTCATTTTAATAAGTAAAACATCAGCACAAATACAAAATCTTCCCAGTTGGAAGCCGTGCAGAGACTTTCAGAAAGACACAGATAGTTTTTAGATGCAGGTCAGAATAAACTTTCATTTGGCATCAATAAGAAGAAATTAAGCATTTATATATGTAATAATACATGTAGAAATATGTAATATAATAAACGATGGTGGTCTAACAAGGAAATATGATTTTCAGTGCCAGCAAATGAACTCTGGATGCTGTTTTGCATCACAACAGATATTAAAACCTAAACAGCCTCAGTATTTGTTTCAGTCCTGTTTTCATGATCTGTGCTGATCGTCTCCTGAATGTTATATATTTTACAAGAAGAGAATGAAGCCAGAAACTTATCCAGGATGGTTTTCCGAGTGAACAAATACAAAGTTGTGTCTGCAAGACTTAAAAAAAACTAAATAAGTAGCTATAAAGCTATTTACATAGCTTTTGCTATTCAAAACTCCATACACACCTAAGAGCAAACTGATGATGGGCAGATAAAGCAGACTGTAAATAATCAGCACAGCAACCTGAATGGCTACTATTCGTCGTTTTTCATCATCTGGGACACTGAGCGCTGCAGACAGAGCTTTGATAGTCCCAACCAGAAAGAAGATGAAGAAGGGAAAAGGCAGGACGAAAATAATTATGAAGAAGATGAGAGCAATCTTATACTCCTTAAACCCATTGCCAAGTATGATATAAAAAAGTGGAAGTATCCAGACCACAATGCAGACCACCACATATGTCTTGATGTTTCTCCTGAATCTGTACCACAGAGGTTTGGCAATGACCAGATACCTGCAATAACAGAAAGACATGTTTAGTCTCTGAAGGTTATTAAGGGCAGATTAATGTTTTTATATCAGACAAAAGGAGTAAACATGGAAACATACCTTTCACAGGAGATACACACCATGAATCCAACACTGACCATCACACCAAAATCTACAATATTTATGAATGTGGAATCATCATCATTGCGTTTAGTAAAATCTAGTGGAATTCTGCAGCAGAGCTGAATGATATCAGAGACGAGGAGGTTGATGACATAGACTGGAGCATCCTGACCCTTTCTCACCTGTGAGAAAAAAACAGAAAAATATTAATGGAATGATAATATTGTGTTATTAATATTAAAATGTTGCTTATTCCAAACATTCCAGTCATTTCTAGGGACAACACAGACTTAAACCTGAGATAAGACAAAACCATCATAAAACACTAAAGATAAATAAACCCTTTCATCAAACTGTTTTGACAGGTGACCTTTGACCCTGACATCCAGTGACCAGAAACCAAATGTCTGGTTGTCAGAAATTACAATACCAGATATCCAGCCAGCGGATGTCAGGGAGCCAGATATCATGCAACTGGATGAGTCAGTTTTATGAAAACATAAAATAACTGTATCATAATTCTACTCTCTGGATTAAGTTACATTTGGAATCAGGTCTCTGTCCAGCTGCAGCCCAGTAGGGTTGGTTTTTCCCCTGACTTAGAACTCACACAGTTATACAAGCTGCAGTTTCCTCTCTACTATAAAACCAGAATGATGTTTCAGAATATCCGACTGGATGTCAGGGTCAAAGGTCACCTTTTCTCCATCAACAAAGATTGATGGAAGGGTGTTCTTTTAGTTTATCACAGTTTAAAGAACGAACTCTTAGTCAAATATCACATTGATTGTTAATAAATAGGCTAAAATTTCAATGTACTCACCTGTGAAAAAACTGCAATCATCACTATAAGAATTAAAACAAATCCAATGCCAATGGTGATCCGATTTAGCACATGTAAGAATTTGAAAATGCCGATCCAAAAAGTCAAGTTAGAACTGAGATTATCGTCTAATGATGAGCCGTTGTCGTCGCCTTTGTAGAAATTGAAATAGTCATAGTCATCCTCATCATCCTCATCATCCTCATCAGTGTAATCGAAACCGGTTTGGAAATGGTAATTGAATACTGTAGTGCTTGAGTTCATCTCATCCATCCTAATATTGATGATGGGAGTAACTGTAAACAGAAATGATGATACATGTGTAAAATATGTCTAATTGATCTGGAATCAAGGATCCTTAAATCCAGGCCTGGAGGGCCGATGTCCTTCAGCCTTTATATATCCTGGTTCAACACACCTCAGTCAAATATCTCAACACGTCCTCAGTATGCAGTCAAGATCTCCAGAGTGACTTGTGGCCTGAAACAGACACAATAAATTCTAAATATTCATGTATTCAATATATTCACAAGTGGACAAATTTCATCATCATCATCAGATTTTTCATATTGTTCTTTTTGTTTTCTAACTGAGTTCAGTCTATGAATATCCAACCTGAAAAATCCAAACATGTCCTTTCAGTATATAAAATATCACTTTGTGTGAGTTCATAAATGTGTTATCCAGACAAACCCCTTAGCAGCTACTTTAAAGACTCCTATTCTTCCAACCCAGAAAAGGAATTAGACCAGATGATACTTACTTACTAACTGATACTTATCTAGCAACGCTGAATAGGAGAATCTAGTTTATCTAGTAAATATACTTTAGATTAACATCATTAGCTTTTTCTTCTTTTCTTAATATAAAATACACTTTTTATAAAAATGTTATGTTGTTTTATTCTCCACAAAAACACAAAGAGAATAAACTTTAAGATACTGTTGTTAGTTTATAAACCACTGAACATCTTAACATTAAAGATCTGTTGTTGACATAGCAACCTTCCAGACCTCTCAGGTCCTCTGGTTCTGCTCTGCATCCTCAGAACCAGAACCAAACAAGGACAAGCAGCATTCAGCTTCTATGCACCACAAATCTGGAACAAACCTCCACAAAACAATCATAACAACTGAAACACTGAGCTCCTTTAAATCACAAAACAACTCACCTGATCAGAGTTGCTTTTGAAAAATAATAAATGATACACTGACCAACAGTTTGATGAGTAATGTTTACTGGTTTTCTAAGTTTTTGATTGTGTTTCCTATGACTGTGTATTTTTGTGTTTTTATGATGTAAAGCTCTTTGAACTGCCTTGCTGCTGACATGTGCTTTCCAAAGCTGATCCATTGATTATATTGACAGAACTGACTGAGTTTATCAGGAGAAATTCACACTTGAAAGTTCCTAAAATGAAACTTGACATCTGCTTTGGTTCAGGATTTGTGTTTTCAGCAGCAGAAAAAGATCAGTTAGTTCAGATAAAACCATGAGTGGATATCAAAAAGCTGATGACCTTAAACCCCCTAATAAAGGTTTAGGGGAAAAATGCAAACAAAGTGCAAACATTGTTCCACATATTAGTTTAGATTTTTGCTGTATGCTGAAAATAAGCTTTTCCAGTCACTTTGATGACTCAAAGCGCTTACACTAGAGTCACATTCAGCCATTCACACTCACATTTACACACCTATTCCCAGACCGGTAGGCAGCACCTATGGAGCTTCACAGAACATAAACCTGGCCACATCATGTCGTCATAGAAACAGCTACCAAACAAACTGACAGCATAAATTTAATGTAACATTATTTGTATTTAAACAATGTTCAAATAAATGACATATGAACAGTTTTAGTGAGATTTTTATGTTAAGAAATTAAAAAATATTTTAAATGTGCAGAAAAGGGAATAAAAATGTGAAATCAGGGAATATTAGTTACATTTAACTTCAGTTTGAAATTGTTTAAATTTCTAGTCACTCACTAGTGACCAGTGAGTGGAGGCTCACTGGTCACTAGTGGACCAGTGAGCTTCCCTACTGGTCCACTAGTCACTCTGTGTACTGTGACAAAGCTCCACGTTAGTCTTTGAAACACAACTACCATTACTATTCAGAAGAGAACCAGATTTGATGGCTTACCACAGTTGAGCGCTGAACAGACTGTTTGGAATTTTCAGTTTTCCTTTGTATTTATAAGCAACCAGTAGGGGGTGCCATTAGTATTTATACACAACACATTACAATTACTTTGCAATGTCACCTTGTCAGTTTTTAATTTTCATTTTCGGACCGGTGAAGCAATTGAGATCCGACTGTGGAACTAACTTCCTCGGAGCGTGCAAAAAACTTGGCATAACTCCAACTCACTGCAACAATAAAGAAATTGGGGTTTCTTAAATAAAAATGAGTGTACATGGATTTTTAATCCACCTCATGCCTCACTTATGGGAGGAAGTTGGGGGCACATGATCAGCATCACAAAGCACGTACTAGATTCCAAGATGTCAAGTTCTCCAACTCATCATCTCACCCACAAAGTGCGAGTTACCTTTCTAGCTGAAGTTACTGCCGTTGTGAACTCTCGACCTTTGCCAGTCTCTTCTGTCCCTTTATTCTTATACACCTTATTCAAAACATTGAGGATTCCTCTAAACCTCCTGCAGACTATGAGTGTGGAGGTCTTTGCAGACATCAGTGGAGGCAGGTACAATATCTTTCCAATCTTTTTTGGCATCGTTGGAGGAGTCAGTACTTGCCTACCTTGCAACCGCGACAAAGTGGCAATCAGGGAAAACCTAATCTTCATTTGTAGCAACAAGTAGCACAACAAATAGTTTTAGAAGGAAGTACAGAACCTAAAGAAAGGCAAAAGTAAAGTCCTAAGCTCAATATTGATTCCCCAAAGAAGTCCATAGTTCTTTTATTAATGGGGATAGAGTATGTCGCCATTGAATTGTGAGGGAGCTGAAGGTATGTCACGAGTTGCGGGTGAGTGGTGGTGAGGAAGACGCTGACAACACAGGTTGAAATGAATGAATGATGGTTTAAAAAAATGAAATAATCCACAGTCCAGGCAGTCACAGCCAGTCTGAGTCTGTTTATGAGCCACACTTTTAAAATAATCAATCAGTCTGCTCAGACCACACTGGACAGGATCAATATATCACCATGAAGCTGCTCTCCAGCTCTCTGTAATGTTCCACCCCGTCTCCGTCAAACCCTTTGACAGAGTTTGTTCACTGAGAAAATTCTCGTTTTCCATCAAACTAACTGCTTTGCTTTATTCCAGCTAGAGCAACAGATCAATGCCTCTGGCTGGATGTTTTCCCACCATGCCTTGTTCCTGGATGAGTGAAAGGAGAAGGTGGTGCACAGGCTGATGACCCCTCTCCATCTCTCTGACATGATGAACATGGAGCAGCAGCCTCCAGCTGGAGGAGGAGGAAGATGAAGAGCAGGGCTTAGAGACATTAAGCCCAGTGGGTAGATAAAGGACCAGAGTAAATGATCGAGGTGAAGCTTGGCAATCTGTTTAACCAGATGGTTGATAGAGTTTTATTTCTTCTTCTAATCTTACTGTGGCGCCACCTTGGTATCATTATCCAGGGACACACATTTGGGTAATCATGAATATTTACACCATGCTGACTCTGACCCTGTAGTTGTAACGATGTGGGTACAACTTAAAGTAATTTAAATGTATCAAATGATATTCCTTTTGTCTGTTGCTACAGGCACAAACAGATTCAACTATTTTAAGCAAAGAATCTTGTTCACGTATAAGCAAGACAAATTTATACTTGACTTGTGTAACACATTTTAGCCACATGGCTGTTCAATGTGATTTGCACCAGTGTTTCCCAACCTGGTCCTCAAGGTACACTGACTGCATTTTTTACGCGTTTCCCTGCTTCAAACACATCCATTCAGATTGCTGCAATTCAGCAAAACCTGTTAATAAGCCATCAGTTAAAATCATGTGTTCTGAAGCAGGGGAAAGCTTAAAGCCTGCCTGGCAACACGCCTGAAGGACCAGGGCTGAAACACACTGATTTACACTAGAAAACATAATACAGAAGCTAGATATGACGCCTGAAACAAAGATTACATTTATACCATCAATATAAACTTTTAGGCACATATATATCAAGCATGATGATCAATGCTATTAGTCAAAGGCAACAATAGCATGTATTTTGCATTTTAGAGCAGACTGCTTATTTTCTCTCCCAGATTTTGGCTCTACTTCAGCTTAAACCTGTTTTGTTAAAGATTTGAAAGTTCTCTGGTTCTGCTGGATTCTGTTCTGCATGATCACGCCTTCTCTATGGATGGCACAAGATCCATCAAGTCTGGTTTCTCCTCACAGATTATTCCTTTTTTCATTTGGAAGTAAAGTATGAATGATTCCTACTTTGTAGTGACCAATTAAAACCATCCCATCCATTGAACTACAACATAAAAACAGTTATTTTTTGTTGCATACCTTAATTTAAATGACTACGATAATAAGTATAATAAAAAAAACATAAAACTGTTAAAAAATATAGCTTTGAAAGATTTTTTTCTTTTGTTCTTTGGACTTAATATGTTTTAGATGAACATGTTAAATGTTGGATCATAATCCCAGAGCTACTTTTTTCTCCTGCATTCAGACCTTCTTGCCTCTTTGTTTTCTGACCTGAATTAAACTCAGACACACAGACATTTATATGGATGGATGTGGTTGTCTTGTGAAATATTTTGAGGACTAATTTAGCACAATGTATATAAAACATATTAATAACCTGAGAACAAATGCTAAACAAGCCAACATCTCTTCATCTGACCAAGTCCATCATGTTCTTTCTGAACAAACTGTACACAACATTGCTTGATATAAAAAATGTATAAAAATCTTTATTTTTTTCAAAATTATTACATAAAAACCAGATGAATAGTAATACACAGACACTAATATTCAGCATGTCTTCACGTACAAGGTGAGAACAATGTCTCTGGAAGGCGGTTTCTATCAAATGTCTGGCTCTACAGAATTAGAAAAAAGCTCTAAACATGGCAGCGGTGCAAGTAGAGCTTTATCATTTTACAATCATGCGCTACATTGTGTTGGTCTGCACAGAAATTTATACGTTGTATGTTGGTGATGTGGCAAGTTGCTGATGATTTACATAATTCAGTGTCTGATTAAATTGTTTAATTGTTTAAGATCAATTTATAGCAAAACTGTAGATTTTCATTGAACAGCAAAATCCTTCTAGCAGCATTGATAAAGCAAATGATGTTTATCTAATCATTTGTTCTCTCAATATGAATATTAAAATTAGGTTGTTTACACTGAAAGTAGCTGAAATGAAAATAAAAATCCACAAGATCAACTGCAGCATAATTTATCTTCATAACTACTTTTCAAATATTATTTATTATTATTATTTATTATTATTATTAAATAAGAGAACCAAACGATTTTACTACCATTTCTTCTGCTGAAACATTCAGGATGACTTTCTCTTCCTCTTTGCTGTGAGGAGACAGTGAAGATGTTCTGTCCTTCAGCCATTTCCACTGTGAAGATTTGATTTTACATCGAGTGTTGCTGCCACCTATTGGTGTTTTAGGGAACTGCTACATTTTTGGATCATTCAGGCAGAAAGTTTATGTTTGTTAGAGGAAGAAACACTGAACAGACATGTTTTATTGCAACTTAGTATAAGAGTTATTTGTCCTTCTGAGATAGTATTGTTACTGCTAATGTATGACTGAATGGAAAACCTTTTCTGTTCTGAGCTAATTCTGAGCTGATTGTGTTTTGACAGTTTTACTCCATTTCATAAGGAAATAAAGAAAAAAGTGATTAATTGTGAAAAAAGTTTTTCTGATGTGTTAGGGTTAACACCTGTTGATACATTAACAAAGACAGAAAAGACAAAAGAGGAATTTAAGTGCTTGTTATCGCCGGACTCCGCAGTCCATTTAGTCTGCGGGCAGTTGGGCTGCTGTTTCTGCCCACAACAGTGCAGATATTAGTTGGGCTGCTGTTCTTGCCCACAACAGGACAAGGTCTCCAACCTTCCAGCACCAGGGTCCGTACACCTCATCGTGGAACGTTGCGCTGGGACTCCGCTGCCCTACACGGATTTTGTGCACTACTTTTACCTGTTAGAGTCTAGAATTGACAGGGTTTTTCATATGTACGTGCAACGACCCTCAGTCAAAGAAGAAGTCACTCTTCTCTCACACAGAAGAATGACTTCCTCTCTAAAACGTAATTCGCCACTTTTTAAAGACAAATCACTCACCCTCTCTTGTCTTTCCCTGGAGTGTTGTCAACCTTCAGATCCCAGCAGGCCGGCCGAACCCAGCCCTTTAACAGGTTTTCTTGCCGTGTGCACGGTCTTACTGGGGTCCACCACACCTGCCGGAATCCGTCTGGTATTTTGACATCCGGCTCGAAGGACCAAATTTATGTTAGGGTTAACACCTGTTGAACATACATTAACAAAGACAGAAAAGACAAAAGAGTTAGATTCTTTCTTACTCACGAGGAAAACAGACAGAGATGTGCTTTCAGTTACAATCTCCTACCGCTCTGAAGCATATTTTGTCAGCTCCTCTCTTTTTATTGTTTTCAGGATCCCTAATCACAAGGACGCTGTAGCTCTAAAGGGAGGGGAAACAACTCATCACACAGCTACAGCGTCAAATGTTATTCACTAACTAACACACAATTATTCTCCACTTGATAATCTCCTTCCAGGCACAAAGTTAAACAGAATATTTAGTCAATCTTCACAGTGACAGTTTTGTAGCAATCCAGCAACTCAAACGAAGCACAGCTCTTCCCAAGAGATAACACTGCAAGAAGACTGTTGTCTCTGCTTTTAATCAGTGAGGCCTTCTGAGAAAGAAATCAGAGTAAGACTTAGACTTAGAGACTTAGACTTGACTTTATTGATCCCTTGGGAAGACTCCCTCAGGAAATTATAGTTACCAGCAGCTCACAGGCAAAAATGTGGCACACAGTAAGCATACACAAAAGAATACAAAAAAATACAAATTAAATACAAAACAAAGAATATAATACAACACAAAAAAATTATAGCAATTTGGTGGATAGATTGACCAGTGATATGGTATTGCACTGTATGGTTTGGCCTGATA